GTCCTCAGGGTTTTGTTCGGGACATATTTCTTTTAATGTGTATCACTGTGTAGATATTTAATTCATACAAGAACAGTGTTTTTAATAGATGGAACATTAATTATGGACTTCTATTTTGTTATCTTTATTTACAGTCATATAAATTATAGCGATTTTGAAGAAGTTGTAAAATTGGTCATTTACAGTCAGTCAGTAATTGATCATTTAAATATATACAAGTAAAGCAATTCTAGATATTTTGACAATTTCTGATAAATTCTAATACACAAAACAAGTCAGAAGTGATCTAATTTAATCATTAATTATTTCAAAAATAAGGGAGAGTTTGACAAGGAAGTTTAAAATGGAGTTTCCTTTGAAATAAAACTCTTGGCTGCAACTTCACTTCATTCTCTATTATTTCTGTTCCTCTATCAATTTTATTTTGACTACAACAATGAACATATTAATTACAATCCTCACTTCACCCTCTATTAATTCTCTCCCTCTATTAATTCTTCTCTGACTATAACAATGAAAATATTAATTACAATCCTCACTTCACCCTCTGTTAATTCTCTTCCTCTATTAATTCTACTCTGACTACAACAATGAAAATATTAATTACAATCCTCACTTCACCCTCTATTAATTCTACTCTGACTATAACAATGAAAATATTAATTACAATCCTCACTTCACCCTTTATTAATTCTACTCTGACTACAACAATGAAAATATTAATTACCATCCCCACTTCACCCTCCATTAATTCTCTCCCTCTATTAATTCTATGTACTCTGACTATAACAATGAAAATATTAATTACAATCCTCACTTCACCCTCCATTAATTCTCTCCCTCTACTAATTCTATGTACTCTGACTACAACAATGAAAATATTAATTACAATCCTCACTTCACCCTCTATTAATTCTCTCCCTCTATTAATTCTACTCTGACTACAACAATGAAAATATTAATTACTATCCTCACTTCACCCTCTATTAATTCTACTCTGACTATAACAATGAAAATATTAATTACAATCCTCACTTCACCCTTTATTAATTCTACTCTGACTACAACAATGAAAATATTAATTACCATCCCCACTTCACCCTCCATTAATTCTACTCTGCCTACAACAATAAACATATTAATAACCCCCCCAACATAACCTAAAATACTGAAAACCAAAAACAACCAAATAGATCCAAAAAGACCAAAAACACATCGTCCCCATATTTACAGCCGACCACATAAGAACCAGTGCCTAACCTAGAGCAATGGCGAACAAAGTCGAACTGTTAAAATGCGTGATCACATTCTCGCTGTCGTGTCTCCAGTGAATGGATGTTCGGAGCAAAGGGGATGATGAATCGGGCGCATAGCAGCCCCCTTGTCTTTTCGACGGGCACAAGGCCGGTGTTCTTAGCTGCAACGATCGTTCAGCGGGGGTGTGTAGCAGGATAGGAAAAAGCCACGAGGGGGTTGGTTATGCGTTCAACGACGACGGAAATGTAGGTGAGCTGATGTTAAGCCGTGGCAGAGTTGCAGGCTCGCGCGCCATCGGGAATGCATTGAGACGGTCACGAACGACCGGGACCAGGCGTTCCCTTCATCTCTGTCAGTCGACAAATCTGCCTTCTCTGGGAGTAGCAGAGGGGAGAGATGAGTGACTTTTAGGGGTTTTTGGGAATTTGGGAATTGGGGAGATTTGGGGGAACTGGGAGAATTGGGAGATTTGGGAGATTTGGGAGATTGGGAATTTGGGAGATTTGGGAGATTTGGGAGAATTGGAAATTTGGGAGATTTGGAGAGTTGGAATTTGGGAGAGTTGGGAATTTGGGAGAGTTGGAATTTGGGAGAGTTGGGATTTGGGAGATT